CGGGGTTCTCCTCCCCGCGCCTCCAGCTTCATCCCGCGGCCATCGCCCTGGCACTTCTCCCTGTTCGCTGCTTTCTGGGCTCTCCCCCTACACTTCAGCCTGCCCGGGGGCCGCTGCACTCAGCTCTCCCTGTTATATCCCCGCCGCCGCATCCCCTTAGCCCGATCCCTGCCTTCTTGGCCATCTGTTTCTTAGTCGTGGGGAAAGTGTGTGATGGGGCCTCAGAACGGCAGTGGTTTGAAGGTGCAAATGCTTCACGTCCTGTTAAGAGCGAGGCAGAAAGCTCTGTGTGATGAGAGAGACCTGAACATGGGATGGGGGGAGGTTTCTGAAGGAATTTGGTGGTGGTTTTGCTGTGTGGTGTGCTCTGCAATTCGTCTTCCTGTCCTGATCGCTCGACTCTAAAAGGCTGTGTGGCTGTCTTATTTGACTTCCAGATGTAGTTTCTTTGCACTAATGAGGCGATTAGTAGAGAAAGAAGAAGATACTGATGTTGACAGCTCTCTTGTTCCGTTTAAGAGCATTCTTGTGCTTTGAAAGAATGTCCTGTGGCTATATTTGAGGAAAAACTAGTTATTTAAAACGGTTGGTGGGAAATGGTGCAGGTCGTGGTGAAGATCTGCGGCTCCAGAGTGCTGCTGTCTTTTGGGTTTTAAATGAAAAGCTATGCAGTGGTTATGTGATGGAGGAACCGTGCATTTGGGGTGATGCTTTTTAAGGGCTTCTGTTCATGAAGCACTGTAAATCTTCAGAATGAAGTTGTTAATTTTGTTCTTGTTGTCAACAACGTGCAATGTTTTGCCAATAGAAATGTTGGAAGAAGTTGTTAAAGTGGTATGTGACTAGGACCAGCATTACTCTGTTCTTGTACCAACTTAGGGAGAGTGCCAAAACTTTGCAGGAGCTCCCCTTTGGCCTTTGGGATACAGTGAATGCTCGGGGGACATTCATGACTTATTTGTAGGGAATTTTCCAGACTATGTAGTTGTCTAATGTGCAACCACATGAAAAGTAAACTTTTCTCTGAAGCAATAAATTAGGAGGTTTATGCTACAAACACATTACACTATTGTTTTGAGGAATTTGTGACCAACTGTTGAGTGCTGAAAGAATTTCTCCTGGGGTGATACTTTTCCCTTACATGGAAAACTTTCAAACGGGCCTCAAGCAAGTGTTCTCGGAAGCAAACATTTTAGCTTCTAGTTCCTATTAGGGTGTCTTTTAACCACCTGGATCAATTGGTAAACCATGTTTGCTGATTACTATGGTCAAAGTGGGGTATGGTTTCAGTTTTGTAGGTATTTTGTGTGAGTTGCAACACTGACCTACCAAGCACAGTGGAAAGTAGAAGTGCGTTAATGCCTTTGCCCACCTCCTGTATAAACGTGAACTTTGTTGTTAGACCACAGTCTCTCGCTTTCTGCTTCATCTGCTGCTTTACAGCATTTTATGTAAACATCGGGCTCCAACAACAGAACCCTTTCACAAGGAAATCTCCCTTCTAGTGTTCTTGCCATTGGCTCCTTGCTTGTAAGTGTGCTTTGACACTGTGCCAAGCTAAAGGCCACAGCTTTGTGTGAGCGTTTGATATTAGGTTTCCTCAAACAAGCTGTTACTGCTTAAGTTAGAATAGCCTCATTCTTGTATCTCTGTAATTAGCGTGCTAAGGTGAAGCTTTTTTTGCTGTCAGAAAAACAAGCCACAGTCTGAGCGGTTTCCTGTTCTGAAAATAACTTATTTTGTCTTTATAATCGCACACAAAATTATTTATTTCTTCCAAGTTAGAAAAATTGTTTGAATCTTGCTGTTAGACTAATCTCATGAAAAGAGACTCTCTTCCTTAGTAGCAATTGTTATCAGCTTCATTAGTTTAATGAGATATATTTAAAACAAAACGACTAGAAAAATTGGAAGTTATAGAAGATTGATGGAAGCAATTTTCAGAGGCTTCCAGAAGTAGCTGGTAGTTGGAATATTTCTCTTGACCAAAAATAAGATTTTGTTGTTGTCTTAACAGTTGAATGCTATAATACTGAAGCCTTTTGTTTTGTGTAATGCAACGGCAAACTGTCTCAGGGAATGAGAAAGTTGGTCTAAACAAGGCTTCTGTCAGGCACACAGTTAAGTTTAATGCTAATGAGGAACCATCCAATGGACAGCACTGTGTAGCAGCTGTGGTGTTAGTTTCTGATTAAAATGAGTTATCTTTGTGATTAACTGGCTTTCAAAAGGGAATTAAGACCTCTCCTATCTTATGATACTGTCAAGATATCTGTTAAATTATAAGATAATGTTAAATTCTTATTTGGAAGGTGTTATTTTTCAGTGGTTGTTTGTAAATAGTTGTGGCCTTTTAATGTTGACAGGTCTCAGGCTTCAGTTTTTCAAGTTGAAAGTACCTTTCAGAATAATTCATTTCATCTTAGACAAATTATAAGTCTTGCATTATTTGTCACACAAATAATAATATTCCTTCCGTGTAAGGGTAAGCACACTGTCAATGAAGCTTTCACTGTACTGATAGTGTGCTCCCGATTAGATTTTGGGTAAAATGTTAAAGAATATTTTCCTGCCCATTTTGGGCTACAGGATCTTGGATACCACTTTCCCATAATCTTACTCAAATGTTGCACTCTGAAGGAGTTATCCTAAAGGAGTGAATCCAGTGGGGAAGATTTTTACGGAAATAAGCTGAGAAGTTACTGTATTGGTTTGCCTGCAGCTTGTTAGTGATGAGTCCCAGATCATTTCTTCTCCGAGGGGCAGGCTTAACTGTTAAAATGCATCCTATGAAAATTAAAATAATGTGTATGCTAACAACTCAGATGCTTCAGTATTCACTTGTACGGGTTCACACCTTTGTTGTAAACTTATAATTGAATATTTCTGAGGTCAGCAGTTGAGTGATTATAAATAAAAGCCGGATTCTTCCAACCTGTTAAACCTCCTGTGAGAGGTGAGACAACTATTTAAGCTGTCAATATGTGGAGCAGTAGGTGCTCTTGGAGGGCTTGCTGTTGCTTGGTGGCAACTGATGACAGTGTGTGTGGGATCATGTAAAGCTGAAGGATTTGTGAACTAAATCTGTAAAGTCTAAGCACTCAAAGCTGAGCTAAAACCAGGGAGGAAAGTGTGTTTGTGTTGTATATTAATTACCTTTTGTTGGTGGGGAGCCTATCGGTGAACCAGCAGAGTATATAAACTTAAATTGAACTGAATAGCTTTTGCAAATGCTCTGAATTGAGCAGCTGTCTCTGGTCATGTTTACAAGGTGCAAAATGCCTTGTGGCTAGATGACACTGTATCTCTCCATGGTATTTCCCTCTACCTAATCACACAGACGTATTTAACCACATCTGGACAGATAATTTGCCTGATGTGCTAGGGAAATAGCTAGTATTAATCTTCTGTTCTGACTGGGAAATTGTATTGAAAGTAGTGTTAAATGAACCAGATGGGCTCTTGTTTCAAGCACATTAGGTGACCTAGAACCCGAAGACAGTTCAGCTATAACACTCTGTTGAACAAAGCATCTGCTGTGAGCCATGTGTCACAAATTTCTTTTTTTTTTTTGCTCTTCTGAGCATTAAGGGAACCATCTGGTTATTTGCCAGGTTAACTTGATTCTATTAGGGAGATCTTATTACAGGTTAGCTGTGTCAGGATTGGTGTCCTGCTGTTACAGTGAGTGATATTTATGCATCAGGAATCTTTTATGCAGTGGTGTCAAAATTAATACTGGGAGTAAAGGAAGAGAGGGAACTTATTGTACTTCTGCAACTCTTCGCTCAGTCTTCCAGTACCTTGTCTAGAACGGTTGGTTTGCCTTTAGCAGATGACTTCTATGCTTATAGAGTATTCTGCATCTGATTGTCTTTTCCTGGAAGAAACAAGAGGAAGAAACACTTTTCTTATTTTTATGACAACTTCTAAAAGTGCTTTAAATCACATTTTAAACTTGCTTTTTAATTTTTTTGTTCCTTTTCTTCTTTTCTTCCCATTAATGATCCCGTAGGATTGAGGGTCCAACTGCATACCTATTTATTGATATTTTGAATGCAAAGTAACAGGGATATGACCTTTCCTCATCTGATGTAGCAGCTGTGTGTAATGTTTACTGCTTTTCATATGAGGTCCTTCATGATGTCCTTTTTTTAAAAAAAAAAAAAGCTCACTATACTTGAATCTTTATCAGCTCAGCAAGGCATGGAAAGGGATCAGTTTCTACACTTTGATTGCCAGACTGAGGAGGAGTAAATTACTCTGCAACTAAGACTGTAAGCAAAAGAAAGGATTGGAATTTTCCTGTTAGAGAAACTAACCCAAGTGATTCTGAACCCTCATATCCAGTTTTTGATGTTTATCCTACTTATAAGACTCAAGGCCTTGCTAAAAATGATTTGGAGAAATGGGACTACGTCAGAAACTTTCTCATCTACACCATATACATAGTTTTCCAGTATGTTAGGTGTTTGAATGCCCAAATACTGACCCTGCTTAACATAGAAGATCTGATGAGATGACAAGACACTGTGATACTTGTTAAACACTTGGCCAAAACTCAGCTCTCAGTTAGATCACTAGTCAACTAGTTCCTCTTCAGTCTCTTGCGACAACAGTAGCTAACATTCAGACAATAGCTGTCTTGATTTGTCTACAGTTTCTTTTTTTTTGTAGCAATATTTTGTTTAATCAGTGATGCCAGATACCTAATTTCTTCCAGAGTTTTTCCTTGCGTATTCCTCAGTAGTATAGCTAGGTAATTAGCAAAGACACATTTTATTTAAAGTTCTTGCTGTTCAGGTTATTAGAAGAGTTGGTCGATTCCAGTGAAATAATTGGTTATATTTGAAGGTATACTAAAGAAATTTGCTCTTGGTATGATCAGATAGATATTTTGCATGAATACTTAAGTGTCAATCTCTTGTCACCCTGCTTCCTCTTTGACTGCTGCAGATGACTCTGTATGTGGCTTGTAAACGTACTTTCCTTTTTTACAGGATGATGTGAGGCAGAAAGTGCACCTGAATACCTTTGGCTTCTTCAAGGATGGTTTCATGAAAGTCAATGTCAGCAACCTTTCACTGAAGCCACCTGTGGGCTCTGATGACAAGAGTAGCTTATCAGTAAGTTGCTTTGAGTCCAGTGACTGTATTAAGCTTCCTGCAAAATTGCCCTTGCGCTGGATGCCTCAACTTGTTTGAGGGGTCAGGTCCTAACTGGTGGTGCTGTTGGCTTTGCTCCCCACTGTAAGCCATTTGTGAGGATGTGTAATTGTTAGATTTATTCTTGAGCACTCTCCATTCTGCTTTAAGGATAAACTTCAACTTACCGGATCCTCTGCTGAACTCGATGCACACATTTATAACCTATATTGGACATAAGTTTCCTAAGCAGTCCTCTGATGTGAAATTATCACATTGTTGTCCTGTTGCATTGCAATGCATCTTGTGGTCATTAATCAGTGGGTTTCCACAGTGACTCTCCTATTTTTAAGAGGACTCTAACATTACATGTTACATAGCACATTATATTAGTGATTTTAATATAGAGATTGAAATACTGGGGTAGAAAACAGACCTGTGTTCTTATTCTTCTGCACAGTTGTACCTCTTTATTACTGAAAGTATTAAAGGTTTTCCTAACACAAAAACACCCGGAAAAATACTGAAATAAGTTAAAAGGTTCAGGGACAGAAGGTACTCTAGAGTAGTTTGGGTTTGAATCAGTATATATTATTCTTGGTGCATATGGATGAAGCAGCAAGTTTATTATATTTTAATAACTTTCTGTCTAATTAGCTAATGAGAAAAATACCTGTATTCTGCCTTAAACAGAGGATAATTTATTTAGAGACCAGTATCTGACTCTTTCAGTAGTGGTTTGGCTTCTGATACTAGGGGAGCCTGAGCTGTTTTAATTTGACAGTCTTCTCAATTGTCTCACAGGTGGGGTTCAGTTTGGATCGAACAAGGAATGATCGGTTGTCCACCTACCTGGTAAGAGTAAGAGTTGTGAACTGACTTTTCTAAGATGGGGACATCTCATAGTCTACTTGACTACAGGAATGGTTGGAAGAAATAAAATTTAAAAAAAAAAAAAAAAGGGAGGGGGCAGGTTGTTAAGGATAATTCAATTTTACAACTTGCTGGACTAAGAATGGTAACCTCTACCTGGTGGGGGGACATGTCCTGTTTCTTATAAACAGGAGGGCACTTCAAAGATGTTTTGCTTATATTACTAGGATGAAGAAGTGGATTACTGTATCTTGAAGAAGAAACCAGAGCAAGATGTCTCTGTTGTAATCTTACTTCTGGACTTCAAAACTGAAGTGTGAGTAAATAGCGTACATTACCTTTTAAAGGTGTTTCTCTAGTGGAAGATAACATAACAGTTGTGAAATTTCTTTAAGGGCTTGGGAAGCTGCTGTGCATGCAGCGTATTTTTTAATGGGTTACATGAGAGTTGAGGGGAGGTGAAAGAGAAAGAAAAAATTACGAAGTATAAAATAGTCCAAGAATTTTTGCTATATGTTGGAGGGATAAGGGGACATAGGGCAAAAGAATCATAACTGAATTGTGCTGACGGCATGAGCTTGAAGTCTTGGGTCACTCTTGCATCTCTTGCACTGAATATGCCATTTTATTGTATGTCTTGAATTATCTAGTTCACGGAAGTACCTTTAAGCCTGTGTTGCTTTCTTTTGCAAGAACAACTGTAACTTGTTTGTGTGGAAACATTATTTCTAATGAGAGTCTGGTTACCAAAACTGAATAAACTTATTTTTCTTCAGCTGCTCTTGTATTTCTTGTAAACATATAGTGTGACTTCTCCCACAGTGATCAGTTCCATGCTGGGCTTCCATAAGTCACGATCTGGTGCTTGGCTGTTCTCTGTGGTAAAGAAGAAAAACAAAACAAAAAAAAAAACCCCAAACCACAAAAAACAAGTCAAGACAAGTTGGTTTTCCTTTATTTGTTTTATGTAGGCTATGACAGATAGCCTCTATGAATGTTGATTTGCTTTCATTTTGTATAAAAACTCTTTGCTTTGTTTATTTAGTGTGAAAGTACGGTTCTCTGCAGAAGCTGCTTCTTTGTTACCTAAAATTTCATTCATGTCTGAGGAAAATGTTACTGCCTTAAGTACCAAGCCACTAAAAACATCTGAACTGAGCAGTGATTCTGGTAAAAATCCTGCAAAGACCAACCAAAATACAGACAGCAAAGGTAAGCCTCCTAAACTTTACCTGTATGTGCTCTCTGCTAGTTCCTTGTTGATGTGCATCCAGCAGTGTGTGGTCACATTCTGGGGTCCCCTGGGGCTAGAACTTGGTGCACAGTCTTGTATAAACCTGTGCATAGAGCTACCTTTTGGGCTGGAGTCTCTCCTGCTCAGGCATTTGTCTTAACAAGTTCAGTTTGATCCAGCAGAGACCTAATGTGACTGAGAGTCCTGCAATACCTGTGAGGAGGGGTTGAGGTACTCAGTTGTCTTTTATCTGGCAAAAAGAAGTCTAAGGGGGTCATTTGGTAGCCAACAACAACTAACTGAAGGAAGGTTAGAAGGACAATGATGCCCAACTATTTTTAGTAATGGCACACAATGCAACCTGTGACTGTTCCCCCTTATTAAGTCTTGGATGTCTCGGATTGAATGCTAGGGGGGAAAACAAGGCTTTCCTAAGTGGGTATTACAGTACTGTAGCAGATCATATGTGGAAGCTGTAAAATCTCCATCCTTTGAGGTTTTAAACATTTGACTGAACAAAGCCAGGGTGAGTGTGATACAGTATTGACCCTAGGTGTGCTTTGAGTCAGAAGTTGGATTAAGTACCTGCACAGGTCCTTTCCAATGAACATTTCTGTTAGTCTATGACCACCTTTAGATAGAGTTGAAATCTAGTCTGTCTCTTAGAAGCTATGGGGATGGAGAAGTAACTATACCAGTAACTTTTCTTAGAGGCACAAGTCTTTGTCTGGCTTCCAGAACAGCAGGCGAAACAATTTTATAATCCCATCAGAGCTGAGATTAGCTCTAAACAGTCCATGTTATCCCTTCCTGGAAGAGTTCAGAAGTGTAGCAGTCTGATCTGACTCAGACTACTGTCTGAGTCTGTCTTGCCATGTCATGTTCAAAAACATCGATGCAGGTGAAAATTTTGCACAGCTATTCCAACAAGTCAAGAACTAAAGCAGGATGGCACTGAAGATAATTGATCTGATAGCTCTAGTTTTTTACTTTTATTGTGTTAAAAAGTGTAGCACGAACGTTGATGGTGCACTGAGGTACAGGAGACAAAACCAAAGCTTAAGTCTTGAACTTTTGCTTCCTGGCAGGTCACCCATGCTTTTGGGTTTTATTTGGGTTTTTTGTTTGTTTGGGTTTCTGGGGCTTTGCTTTGTAAAGACCTGAGAACTTTTTCTTCCCTAGAGCTAATTAGGACTTCCATATGTTTGTCAGGCCATGTATTAATGTCCAGATTAAGATTACTCAGTGAGATTAACAGTACTCAGTGATAACAATAAAAGCTGTAGCTGTAGACTGTATGAAACAAGGCTGTAGCCTGCATCTGGTATAGGTGATCGGCCTCCTGCATTGCTGTAATTGGAGGGGTTGGAAAGATTTCTTGGGTAAGCTTTTGTAGAAGGTGTAATAGTAGAGAAGCCTATCCTAGCATTGGAGGATGCATTCAGAATGAATGCTAGTTGTGGGAAGAGTCCTGGGATAGTAAGGAGAGACTGGGAAGGAATCTCTGCTAATGATTATCTAGGAAACTGCCACGCGGTCAAGTATAGGAAGATCTGAGTAAAGTATTGGCAATGTGTAAAAGGTGGTAGTCTATGAGGATGTCTAAATGCAAACACTCTAAAGGTACTATTAATGCTTTTATCTCTAGATGAGAAGACCAAACAAAGTACAACATCCTCCCAGGTAAGAAACTATCTGCTGTTCTCTTTCGGAAAGAACTTGGGGGAATATTCAAGTATAAGCATAGTCAGAAAGTGGAGAGTGTTATTTTCTATTGCTCTCAGCCTCCACTATAAATACACAGAATGCAGTTTTGATTGTTTGGATGATGTAGCCCAATGTGGTACTTACCTGCTTAAAAACTCTAAAAGTCTCTTTTCCTTTTCCCAGAGCATAGTAGAACAAGAACATCCTGTTCACAATGACAGAGGAACTTTCTCATTTCAGGTAGGGTGTCTGTCAGTGTCTAATCTTAATGTGTGCAGACAGTCCCTTCACTGCACTAGTTTGTGAAAAGTAGAATCCTGGTGTGGACGCCTCTCTGACAGTACAGTCAGTTTTCTGAGTGGACTCCTGTTAAGAATAAGTGCTGGAAGTACCTTTCTTCATAAGGTGTGGGAGCTGTTTTAAACTCTTCGATGTGATGCAGTTCTAAATATCATAGTCTGTGAGCCTCAGCATATTAAAGTTTAATGTGGTGCAACTATTGCATACAGATTTCTAACAACAAATACCTGTGACCTACTCACTTAAGAGACACATACTCTGTATGAAACCAGATTAACACTTTGTTTCAACATGCTGGTTCACTTGTGATTGTTGGTTATTATAAAACACATTTTAATTTCTGTTATGTGACACAAATCTCATTTCCATAGCTATCACAATTTCTATAGTTGGGGGAGGAAGAGAATAGCTACTTATGCTTTAGGGCAAGTATGATCAAAATTTTACGCTTCACCATGTTAAATATACGACATTTCTTGTTATCTTTTCTCTGTCATGAAGTAAGTTAAATACTGATACCTAAAGGCCTTTGATAAAGGTCTTGGATTACAAGAGTGCGTAATCATAGATAGGTGCAATAATTTTGCATCTGGAATTCTGTTGAAACTTGCAGATATGCTGGTATCCTTAGAAGAGTATGCATGCTGAAAGGAACCAACTGACCCTAAATGACTGTTTTTTTTCACGCTTCAGTAGAGATGGCTTCTTACCGGGGCAACCCTGTTGTGAATGAGAAGAATGCTGACTTTCCTATTCCTTATTTTCAGTTTTTTTTTAACATCAGCTCTGATAACCAAGAAGGTCTCTACAGCCTGTATTTCCATAAATGTGTTGGCAGTGATGCGACGAATAATGATCAGCGGCTATTTAGTCTTGATGTGAGTATAGCTTCTAAAGTATAATTAACTCATTCACTTAGACTGAAATACACAGCTTTCAATTCTAGCTGTATACCAAAGCACACACTGTACATGAGTGTATATGTGGGGTGGGAAGTGATTCAGAATTGTGCATTTAATCTCTGTAGTGGCATTTCTGAAGGAAGCAACTACAGTAAGAAGAATTAAAATATTAGTTTTGGAGAAATGTCTGCAAATTTGAAGACTGCGTGTGGGCTGGGTTCAGTCTACACAGTTGTGACTAGATGCTGTAATGAGATGGGAGCTGAAACAGCTGTTCGTGTTTTGCTGTGCTCAAAAATCACTTTTTTCTTTACACAATTGCAGATATTAAGGCTGTTGCTGCAATCTAAATTGTTGGTATTTGTGAATTCGGTGTTTTTGCTTTTTCTGGCCTAATTAAAGATGCATTTTTACAGTGTTAGATGCACATCTTAAAGGCAATATGTTACAGCAAATGCCTTGTCTCTCTTAGCGTCCAAGGGTTTGGTACTGTGCTCTTGTGAGCCAGAGTGTATTATCACAGCTCAGGCTTTCCCTTTTTTCTCTTTCCTGCGCCCGTGCTGGCATCCGTGCTGGTGTGTAGTGAGCTATTCTGTAACGAATCCTCTCATTGACCGAGGTAACTCTCAACCAGATCAGACCCCTGAACTGCTTTTTGCATGGTTGTTGCTGACCCTACTGTAAGGGAGAAGCAAGGGAACATGTAGGTGATAAAACTTAGCAGTTCTAACTTAACTCAGACTAGACTACTTTAAATCTGTTTCTGAAGTTGTATGTTTAGAAGACCAAGTTTTTGAATTGCTGTTTGTTGCTTTGACCTAGTGCAGAAATAGGAAAAAGAAGAAAACTTGGGTAACTAACCTGCTTGATTGTATTTAGCGATGCAGGACAGTTTCAGTACTGCAAACTAGCCTTGATGCTTTTTTTTTTTTTTAATGAAGTCCTAGCATATATCAGCCAAGCTGTTCAGGGATATAGGATGTTAAATAAAGCCTGTGTTTTCTCAGGCACAGGGTAATAGCCATGCAGCAGAGTGCTTCCTTTCCCTTGACAGGTGAAGAAATCCACTATAGTAAACCTAGGAGTGAGTTTTTCAGCTATGTATGATGCTCTCTACACGTAAAATTGGTACTGTGCTAAAAAACCTACTTGTTTATGCAAGGCTTTAGATACTGTTTCTGAATCAAAGGTGGGCAAACTGTGTGAGATTTGGTACAGAGAACAATTATTCTTTGGGAAAATTACTTTGCCTTTCTGAATTATGTTGCGTAATCAAAACACTAGGAGGAACCTCTGTCCTGCTTTTCAAGGAAGTTATTGTTGTGGGTGCAATTTTGCAAGATGTTTTGAGATTCTTGAGGGTAAAGAGTTGATTTTACTTTTTCCTTTAAGAGTCTCATAACATTCACAGCTTCAGAAAAGCGAGTTTTAAATACGCAAATCTGATTGTAAACTATAATTGTTAACTCAGTCCTTTAACAAAATGTTTTTTCAACTGTACTCATTACACACCTTTAATACTCAGATAGAAATTACGGAAAAGAATCCTGAAAGCTACCTCTCAGCGGGTGAGATTCCACTGCCAAAACTTTACATTTCCATGGCTATCTTCTTCTTCCTGTCGGGGACTGTATGGATCCACATACTTCGTAAACGCAGGTAAGCGGACTAGGTCAGTGTCAGTAATAAGTATGGGCCTATCTTGTTTGATATTTTTTTTTTTTTATTCCTTTTAGAATGCCTAATTCAGTCAAATTTGGCTCAATATTGTATGCCTAATACATACAATTTATGGTCAAAAACAGCTGCTTCGGTCAGTATCATTGTTGCAGAATGTTCTAAAGTTATCAAATCTTAGGTTAAGAAATTCTTCATGTAGTGTACATATTTTAATATATTGTTGCAACAAATAAACACCTGTAGTTGATGACAAAAGGAGAACGCTGAAAATAATTTTAAATAACAAGAAAAACTTAGTAAGATTTTTTTTCATTTGGGGAGTGGCAGCTTATGACAGTGGAGACCCGTAAACATTTTGATTGTAGTTGAAAGTAGTAGGAATTCTTAATGGAAAACCATGCTTCCTAATAGTTAAAGCATAGCAACAGAAGCCAGGAGCACCTATAAGTCTGTTTTGGCTTTACCTCTGACTTAGTCTGAAGTTCACTTGGTGATCAGGTTATTGGGTAGTCTAGAGTTCACTTGGTGGTGTGATACAGTGACTTGGGGGTGGAGTAATACATGTTTCAATTCTGTTTAGCAAATTTTCTAACAGTTATGGTCTATATATGCAAGATGTTCCTATGAGTTACTATTTTTAATTAATCCAAGTATTAAAAGTCAGAGTTGCAGAACATGTAGTTGAAATGTTGTTCAGGATGTTGCAAAAACATGGACTGCAGCATTAGAGGGAATGCCTTTCCACTAATAGTCAGCTCAGCCTGGGACTTAGTTTGACATATATAGGTTTTACAGAAATACCCTTGGGAACTTAAATTAAAAGACAGCAGTGAAAATTTATGCTTTTCCTTCTTTTTTTCTTCCCAGAAATGATGTCTTTAAGATTCACTGGCTAATGGCAGCCCTTCCTTTCACAAAATCTCTATCCTTAGTCTTCCATGCAGTATGTATAACGTCGCTTAAGTTGTTCATTTGGGAAGTAGAAACATGGAATCCAGGGCATGCTGTTGGAGAAATCTGTTTTGGGGAGCAGAATGGGAGGGAGAGTGAAGTGTCTTTCATATTGAAGCGTTGGAACTGAGCTGCAGCTGTTTGGTGGAAGTGATTCAGTTTCCATCAGCAAATTCTGACTTTAAATACAATTGAGATCATGGCCCAAAGTGGTGAAGCAGCAAGCATATATATGAAGGTTGAATGAGTTCCATGAATTCTAATGTTTTGGGCATCTGAGGTTGGCCTGAAAGCTTGAGCTATGGTGCTGCTTCAGCTACATGGCTTGCAGTAAATGTTAATAAGGTGAAACCTTGATGAATGTTTGTAAAATTCAAGGCACTACTGCAGATGAAGTATTATGGTGTACTATAAGAGACCTAACATTATAAGCTTTAACACTTTCAATACATAAAGTGTCTGTTGAATTATATTGACTTTACCTTTCCACTGGAAAGATCTCCTAAACAAAGGTAATGGCAAGCATTTATTCCTTCAGTGTTTGTGCTAGCCATGATCTTCACATTCATGATAGGCTAACTGCTACAAGCACTTCTGGAGTTTAATGAATTTAATCTGATTTCCAGTGAAAATGGAACTAGAAAGCAGCTGAACTTAAACAATGAATGAATAAATAGGTTACAAATGTAGTTGTTTAACTATAATTTAAATAGGTTACAAATGCAGTTGTTTAGTTAAGTGTGGGAAAGCTGTAGATTATGTGATATATCCACTAACACTTAGGAAATATAACAAATGGAAATGACTTTATCATTGCTAAACAAAACTAGAAAGCATCAGGAGGAAGTATTCTTTAAGGGGTAACAGAGCTGAGTTTGTACCCACTGATTGGAAAATGAAACTTGAAGTGGCTGTCAAACAGACCTATTTTATAAACATGGGTGGGGTGCTGATGAGCAGCTTGTAATGTACTGTATTTTCTGCTTCCAGATCGACTATCATTACATTTCTTCTCAGGGATTTCCTATTGAAGGCTGGGCTGTTGTTTATTACATCACTCACCTGTAAGTATGACAGAAGATTGATGTGATAGATTAAGAAAATGAAACTGAACTCCCTGTGGGGCTGCCCCCCTCCCTCCCTCCCTCCTGAGCAAACTGGAAAATTGCTGAATCTTTGATACTGTGGTCTGAATGACAAGACAACAGTCAGCCCTGTGTGAAAGGGAAAGCTCTACTTATAGAGAGCAGCTGCAGAGAATTGGTATTTATCTGGGTGGAGGAGTAAAAGGAGAAGAAATGCCTTGCTTTTCTTTGTTCATACTAATATTCAAGTATCTAATTTGCTCTTGGTGTGAATGGTAAGAGGGTACAGCTGCCAGTGTTTTCCCCTGTTCATGAGGGTGAATGGATGACTCCCCCAGGAAAAGATTGCATATATTGACAACTGTGAATGAAGTGTAATATTGCTATGTGATACACAGTTGGAAGCAAGTACATCTGCTTCACTGTTGTAGGATAAGCACTTGCCAAAATTATGAATAGCAAGGCATTTGTTTGGGTTGGTGGTTTTACTGACTGTAGGAGAGAACCTGGGCAGAAGAGGAAGTGTGATCAAGTCTCTCACTGCAGTATCTCTTTCAGACTGAAGGGTGCTCTTCTGTTCATCACTATTGCCCTAATTGGCACAGGCTGGGCTTTCATTAAACACATCCTGTCAGATAAAGACAAAAAAATCTTCATGATTGTCATCCCACTTCAGGTGAGGACTGAGCTGTGTCAATACTTACTATCTTGTGGGAGAGCTGCTTGTGGAAACTGTAAAAGGCTGTGAATCCTTCGCAAAATACCGCATAGTTACTGCTTGTGTAAGCCTGTTGGTTACAATTTCAGTTGAGTTGGAATTTCCTGTGCTAGAAGTTACTTCTGTCATTTTGCCCACTCGTGTCCCTATATTGAGTATGAGGTAATGGTGATCAAATAGTGTCAGCAAATGAGCAACTAGCTCTAACATAGGTATATTCATGCTGGGGCAAAACCTGGGCTGCAAAACAGTACTAAACTACTAAGCAGAAAAATTAAATGAAAGTTGTCACTTCTTAAATGCTTGCTGAATAGGCTTAAGAAAAAAAAAGGAGAAAACGGAGACTTGCAGGTCTGTTGGATCTGAGGAACATTTTCCCAGCATGGTCAAAGCAATCAGTGCTTGTCTCCTACTCCAGGAACTGAAGCAAATAGTTGGGTAGCACTTCTGTTTGTCGTAGGCAGAACAGCTTTTCTGCCTATCCAGATGGGATCCCTTACCCAGCTGCAAAACCAGAAGTATATAATTAGTGTTTGAGGCTTTTTTAGAGCTCAGGTATGGAGTAGAAAACATGGTCAATGACCGGTTTGAATTACTGGCTTAATTTAGAATAATGTGTTTAGACTGCTATCTGTGCGTATGCAGAGTTCTGTTTCCATATTTTTATAAATAGATTTTGCTATTTTTATCTCTGCTGATACACTAGATTCAGCATAGTATATAACAAAAAGGACTAGTTTCTGAATGTCAGCAGAAGTAAGTTCCAATCAGTTTTATTTCTGTAAATCCTGTGAAGGTACCGCTGAACGTGTGACTTTCTTGACATAGAGCTGCAGAAGAACTATTGATATTACTGAATGGGCACTTTCTGCAACTGTAGGACAGCTTTTGCTGAATCGGCAGCCCACATCTAGTATCTCCTTGAAAAGCTGCTAAAACCATTAAGCATGTTTTGTCCTGTAGGTACTGGCAAATGTGGCATACATTATCATAGAGTCAACAGAAGAGGGGACAACTGAATATGGACTGTGGAAAGAAATCCTCTTCCTGGTAGACTTGCTATGTTGTGGAGCCATCCTATTTCCAGTGGTATGGTGAGTCACTGTATGTGTTGTGTGGTTTCTGAGCCCTGATGACTTGAGCTTTTTCTGAGCTAATGAGTATTGACTGCTAGTTAGAGCAAAAGATACTGCCAAAGCAAAAAAATCAGTCCCTTGGAGTCAAACGTTCTGTTAACTTTTTTAAACTGTGTCAGTCTTAACACTTCAATCTTGTGTTGTGGGAGATACTTGTTTTGGGGATGTTAAAGTGGGGATAAGGTAAGGTGTGTGGTGATTTAAGTGTAGCCAGCACAGTGCAGTCTATAGGTGCTTTTGAAACTTGGAATTTTGCAGAAGTGCTGACTCTCGTACATTGAGATACGAGATTTTTGCTTTACTGACTGAGATTGGAAACTAGGCTGCTAAATGCTAAAACAATAGTGCTGTCTAAGATCAGTGCTGCCTTCAAGCAGAATAGCTGCATTTTTACTTGACTGTTTAGAAGAAATAATCCCACAGGGAGCATTTCCCTTCCCTTCCTTCCACTCTACTTGGCAAGGAATAATGTTGGTTATATAAAACTCGACAAAAACACAGATAATTCAGATAAACACTATTGTTGCTTCTTGCCAGTTAGCCAGAACATTTATTTTCTAAATTCATTTTAGTCTTAATTAGATAAACAGCTGGATCTAAAGGAGGATATGAAGGAGCTTCTGTCTCCGTGGTTAGTAAACACAGAATATTCTTCTTTTTCTGCAGTATCTCCAGTATTTTTTTTTTCTGAAATGCAGAGTGAATGTAAATGTCTTTCTAGTAAATGTGTCATCACGTGTTACATTTAGAGTGTGTAACTCTTGAGTGTTTCAGAGAACTGTTTCACAATGCATATGTCTGTGTAAAGACACATATGTTGCTCAGTAGATGGAAGTAAGCTTCAGCTTGACTTGTGAGGGTGGGTTTCAGCTGTCCTTACCTTCCCAGTTGTCCCCTCTGTAAGGGCAAAACCCTGCACAGTCTTGGTGGCCTTCTGCCACGGCTGGGAAATGCCTTCTGAGAAATTTGCACTACCCGCTTGTTCCTTCCTGCACTTCAGTCAAAATGCTGCAGCTCTTCTGAGGTTGAGAACATTTGTGTATGGTAAATGAAACTGCAGGACTGTTAGGTTTAATTGTAGAGAGATGTTGATTTCCTGTGATACAGATGACTTCTACAGTCGCAGCTCTTACTACTTCATGCTGGAATCCATGTGTCCTGCCTAGTGATATGCTGGTATAAAACTTGCTTCCCATAAAGGAACTGTATCTGAAGAACAAATGCTTTTGGGTGAGCTGTCCTGTAACTGTTTACAGTGTGCAACCAATGTTTCTGCATTGTCATGGTACCAACATAAACTGGCAGTGAAGCCAAGGACATAAAATCCTGCCCCTTTTTCATCTGGATAGTGTCACTGCAGCTGGTGGGATGACTCATGTGAGCAAGGTGACTAAGACTTGGCCCTTGAATTTACATTCCTGCAGGGTAGCTTCTGTTACGTAAGTCGCCTATGTAGACATGTAAGCTGTAATGAACTATTTAAATGAAAAGAACTTAAAAGAGCAGTAAGATGCCAGATTCTTGGCAGTACTCTGAATAGTAGCTCAGCTTAATTGTACAAGTGGAAAACATTATGCTGGAAAATACCCCAGTTTCTCGCTCTGCTCCCTCCTTCCCACAAAGCTTTCTGTAGGCTGAAGTAGGTTTTAGCAATCGGCTTGCTTAATCGCAAGGAGATACAGATACTTGAACTAACTGCCTGAGATGGGGGTGAAATATATGCAGTGCCAAGCACCTAAGCACAGTTAATTACGAGCATACCCCAGACATAAAGAGCTAACAAAACTTGTCAGTGTTCTAGAGGTCTGCAGTGAAAAGGGAGTGTAAAACTTAGAGCTAATCTGCTCTTTTATTTTTACTTTTCAGGTCAATAAGACATTTACAGGAGGCTTCAGCAACAGATGGGAAAGGCAAGTAATCTGTAATTTTTCTGGTTTATGCTACATGCCATAAGATCATGCCAGAATTTCAAACACATCATGCTGATTTGAAATATGTAAACTAAAACTACAAATCTACGTTATGTTAGTGTCACATTGCTGCATTTCCTCACTGGGCTTGTGGGAATAACTTCTGTAAAATGACCTTTTTCATGTATTGCTTTGACTATCAGAACTCATATGTGGAACTCATTCTCTGGTACTTGCACAGCTCTCGGGGCTCGAGCTAGACATGGCATCTAGAGCAAATCATCTTGACAGATTTGCTGCTGTTTCTCAGACTCATGTGTTCAGAAGCAGAACTGGAAAGGAATTCCAGAATTACTGACTATTAGTCAAAATAGACTCCCTTATTTCAATTTCTGCAGAAATCTGTACCTGGCAGAATAGAGGGAAACAAACCTCATTATGAAACAAAACATAAATTGGCATGCGATGTAACACAGTTCTTGACTTGCCCATGTTTGTACAGCAGCTTAAAGGACTGCTTATGTAAAGTCGAGTTACATTTATTGTAGCAGCGAAAATGAGATGATGGATATAAAGCCATTCCAAATATGGCTTCTGTAGTGTGTACTTTTCCTGCCTTATCTGCTGACTTCTGAACTAGTTCCTCAGTTGGCTGCAGATGCAAGCCATGGAGCATAGCACTGGCTTCCTTGGAAACAGGCAGCCATTTCAATAGTCTGTCATTTGATGGCATGCTGTTCTTGAAAGCGTTATTTGTAGAAGGTCCTTTGGCAACATCCTTTAAACCTAGTCTTACATTTTAACTTTTGTCTCTGCTTTCTGGAGATAGCCTCCTAGGTCTGGATACTTCTTCCAGCCATTTTCTTGGCTTCCATCAAGACATTTGCATTTCAGTGCAGATTGCCTCTGTAGTCTAGTAGGTGAAGTGGAAGGCTGTGTATTGAACTCAACTCTGTGCAGACCACAGATTAGGTCTTTTCTTGCCATCTGTTAAATGAAAACAATACTGAAGATGGAGCTCAGCATTTCTTTGGGATTCCAAGGTTTAAAAAAAAAACAAACCTAAAGGGGGGGAAATATTATTTTCCAACAGAAACTAATGTAAAAAAGGCTAGTGTTGATAATGTAACATGGTGTTATTGGTAGCTTTCTCATCAGTGTGTTCACATGGATTCAGTGGCATTCACTGAATTTGTTTTACCTTGTCCACTGAGCATATGTTTTGGAGTATTTATGTTCTCACTGTTAAGTCTCTGCTTAAATTTCGACACTCCTTGAAGCAGTCTCTTTCTTCTGAACTGCAGATTTCACGTATGTAAGGCCTGGTTCTTAGCTGAAGCCACCGCATGTGACTGTAAATACAGGTCAGCTTTCCTGTAACTAAGGCAGAACTGCTGGGTTGCAGTGGAGTCTCTGACTATTCCAACGATGAGCACTCAGCATCTAGTGCACCAAACTGAGACATAAAGCCTCTAGATCTGTGTGGCCTCAGGTGATCACCCCATGCCTACCTTGCACTTGATGGTTCTTATCACAAGATGGTGCTATGGAGTTTGCTTAACTTCAAAACATACTGAGTGAAGGAGGAAACTAAGGTAGCTAACATCAAGGATGTTAAGGGTAAAGACTGGACCTGTCCACTGTTCATGTTAATGGGTAGAAACCAGATCTGAGTAAAACCAAGCAGCTCTGAAGAATGCATTGTAGTGTATAATGGAGGTAAAAGAAAATAACAGAATCACAGAATCATTAAGGTTGGAAAAGACCTTCAAGATCATCAAGTCCAACCATCAACCCAATACCACCGTGCCCACTAAACTGTGTCCTGAAGTGCCACATCTATGCGTTTTTTGAATACTTCCCATGATGGTGACTCCACCACCTCTCTGGGCAGCCTGTTCCAATGTTTGACCACTTTTCTCAGTAAAGAAATTTCTCCTAAAATCCAGTCTAAACCTTCCCTGGTGCAACTTGAGGCCATTTCCCCTCATTCTATTGCTGGTTACCTGGGAGAAGAGACCAACACCCACCTCACCACAACCCCTTTTCAGGTAGTTTTAGAGAGCAATAAGGTCTCCCCTCAGCCTCCTCTTCTCCATACTAAACAATCTGAGAAGAACTGGTCATGTCTTTATAGCTAGTCAGTGCTATCCACAATAGCCCCTGTGGACTGTTCTTAGTCCTCTGTTTTGTGGTGTTTTCTGTGGGTAACAATGCTCTTCTATCATGCATGTTGCTTGTGGATCACCTACTGCTGTTACTATGCTTTTACCTACTGATGTTACCATCTGGTTGTGCAGATCCTGCAAGTTCAATAAGAAATGTGTTGAGAGACACTTAGCAGCTGCATTATGCTACACTAATAATAAAAGAAGCTAAAGAAAAAAGAAAAATCAGGGGAAGTATAGGCACCAGATTGTGGCCTGGACAGCCACAGTGCTGGGACTCACTTGTGAACCACACTGTGGTTAGAGTATTTAGAGGCTGTTGATGGGAGCCCATAGGGAGCAAGTGAATGGCAATGTGATGCCAGAAGCAGAATGTTACCTAATGATGTCATGCTGCTCATGTGCCTGGCTGAGAAAACAAAAAGTGATTTGGTTGCACTGTAATAAGGTAGAATCATTTGTTAGGCTTATCAATGAATAGTCTTGACTAGAACCACATGGTCTTAACTCTGTAGGCTTCCCTTGGAGGCCCCGTTCTGCAGAGGTGCTGCTCTGTGTCTTAGCTTCTCATGAGAAGTAGGACCAGCACTAACTCTAAAATCACCAGCACATTTTTTTTTGTCCCACAGATGAAGACAGTTTTCTCCTGAAGTCATAAAAACTATTGGATCCTCTGATGTGCAGTTTAACTGCTACACTGCCTGTCCCGTGGTTAGAGCTGACTGAATATTGTGCAGGGAGTTCTAGTTGGACTGCCTATTGCTTGCTAGGATTTATTGTCTAATATTACCTCAAAGGCTGCTTTCTCTGTTCTTTCACACAGACTTCATTAACGTATAGGGTGTCTTGGGGAATTATATACTATAAATTCAATAGCTGTTTTTCCCGGTGTTGAGTCTTCTGGTGACCTTCTCGCTGGTGAGAAGGTCCTAAGGAAAATTATTTTTTCTTCTTTGCATCTGTTAGAACTAACAACTCCAGGACTTCATAGCTCAGTATCCTGGCGGTGTTTTCTGACTGTCTGTCTGTCTTGTCCTCTATCAGCTACTTCACAACCTATTTATTAGATAGCACTCCCTTGGGTCAAGTGCAGTCATGACTGCAGTGTGACTAGACTAGAAATTAAGCAGAAAGCTGTTCAGACTACCAGTCTTTTAGTCTTACAGCTGTGCTTGCCATAGGCCTTTGTATTAGCAGTGTACAATTATTAAAAAAACTTATTATAAGTAGCAGTGATTTGGAATCACTAGCTAAGGGTCATTAAAACTTGATTTTTTAAAATAACATTTTCTAAAGTGGGAAAGCTAGAGGAATGTGTCTGAAGCCATCGTTATCCAGAGTGACCTTACGTGCACAGATACTGTGAATTGCTAGTGAAGAGTAGGCATGGCATGATGATACAGTGGAGTTTGAGCTGCCTGGTGGTTTGCTTTTTTTTCCTTGAAGGTGATCTTTAAAGCAGAATATCTGACCTACACAGGCTTCTTATCTTGCACAGCAGTGGGCGTCAACATCCCATTTTTAGAAGCTTTTTTCTTCACCTTTTAAAATCGCCTCCTTCAGACTTAAGCAAGTGCCTAGCTGCAGCTCTTTGCTCTGTCGCTGTATCTTTCAGATGGGAGCATGCTCTCTGTCCATTTCTAGATCTGCGTTATGAATGTCTTGCAGATTTAAGGAAATTAGCCTTGCAAACTGAGCTGGAATTGTTTGGGCTGGAAAGCTGCTTGACTACCACTATGCTGTTTACAGGCATGAGAAAAGGAAGACAGGGTGTATGTTGTAGCAAACTTGCTTATTTTTGTTTGAAACTCTTAAGTTCTTGGTCACTGGACCTCTTGAGTCTTATAACCCGTCCTTGTGTATCATGTCATCTGTTGTTTGAGGGAGGAATGGAGGGATGGAAACACCACTGTATTTTTTTCTTCTGCTTGTACCTTTGTGTATGTGATGAGAGATATGAAACTCGGGGCAGTCTGATCACGAATGGTTAGCTATTTTCCTGAAGCACTGCAGCATGTCATAGTTGGCAGCAGAATTGGGGGAAATACATTGCAGTGTGTAGCTCCTAGGCAACATTCCCCGTGTGCTGTGCAGTGGGCAAATGATGATTAATGCTTTCATGCTTGCCCCCATGTCAGGAAAAACCATTTGCTGTATTCAGTGTCTTCCTGCTTCTTTACCATGAAAATGCTGTGAACAAAGAGCTTGGTCCTGTATGGTGCAGAACACCCTCTGCTTAGCTGAGCTCAGCAGACGCTGGAGGCGGTGGCTCTGTGGAGACCCATGCTAAAACACCTCCACCACTCTCCAGCGAGGAGGAGGGGGGTAGCGCAGGTGTAAACATGCTCCAGGCAGTACCATCTCAAACCTTGAGATAAAGCTTAGTGATTTAAGTGTCAAGACCTCAATGGATAGCACTGAAGAGTTGGGAAATGTTTAGAAATCCAAGTTGAGAAATGAAATGGGTCTATTATGTTCCAGTATACCACTTCCAGGCGCCCTAGGTAGCTATGCAGGGTTGATGTAGAGATTGCGTGTCAGAGATGCATTGCTTATCCTGAACTTTGGACTTTCTTCTGACCCTGGCAGGGAACTTTTGTGCCAAATGGCTAATGTGTTTTGGAATATTCAAGGTTAACTGGTCTGTGACACCTTTTCATGCATGACACCAAGAGCTGCTGTACTATTTTGCTTGACCTCTTCCTTCTAGTGTAGGAATGCTTTTAAGCAGAGTGCTGTAGAAATTATAGGGCCATACTTCTCAGTTACTCCTGGAATTCCTTTTTGAGGTCTAGATCTACATGTGTGCCTTCATGCTTGGGGAGAATAGAAAACTTACATTTACTATTTGGTAATGGCGCAGATTGCATCTCAAATGCACCAGAGTTAATATAGCACACAAAGCATTGGCAGAATATTCCTAGCTGTACTTTAGCATGTTCACTCAAGATGCATTATGGTTTGCCCTTGCGTATCGTATTGTCTGGACTTGAGCTCCCTATGCCCTCAGCTGCAGTCCTCTTATTGTTATTACATACGTATTCTGCAAAGGTCAGATTTATTCATCAAAAAGCTATTGTCTGATGGTGTAGTGGATGGTCTGGATGGTCTGGCTTTTTTTTTTTTTACCCATCTTATAGGCTGTTTCAGCATTTGAAATTAGCACAGGGCAATCTGAAAAAGAGGCTGATTATCAAAATGCTGTGGTATGCTATGTTTTGATTGATGCTGATCAGGCTGTTGCAGGCACAAGCTGTTAAAGTAAATGATGATGGAGAGGGGAAGCTGAGGGAAGCAAGGCATAGATCTCAAACTTTTCTTTGAGGATAGCTTTTATCTTTTTAATTACTCTATGAAAGAGATTGAATACAAATATGAATGAATTTGTAAAACCTTTGGTAGAAAGTCTCTACTTTTTCTTTCCCCTTCTCTACTGTTCCTTGAAGAATGGTTATCATACTCAGAACATAAATTTACCCAACCTTTACTGCATGCTGTGATTGCTGCTGTGTTATCACAGCTTTACAGGTTGGGGCTGCAAGTGATTCAAGTTGTAAGTGACAGCTGCTGGCCTAGCTCTCTCCTTGCAAGGGCTGCTGCCAGTGTCTGGACTGCCAGGCTAAGGTGAATCGAAGTCTTAGTGTCCAGCATAGTGCAGCTCCAGTGTTACTGCCTGGAGCACATTCAACCTGTGCAGCAATTCACAAGCTGCTGATGCCAAGCAATGATGATTTTAGACTTTCTCCAGAACAGTGTGTGCTGTAACTTTGAGCTGTTTAAAAAAACTGGCAGAATTTTGTAGACATGCATTAATACTGGCTTTAGTATCTGATAGAGAAGTATTCCTGAAGTTGAGGCAGCTAGAGGAGAGCACCTTGTTGTGATAAAATAAGCAAGCCAGCTTCCAGACGTGGCTCTTCAGTCTTTCTACTTCGTGGTGGTTGTCTTTTTTCCTCCCCTCACTCTTCTTCTCCATGCTCAGCCATGCTATATATCTGGATGTACCAACCTGTGACTGTTTGGTATTGATTATCATGATGACTAGGTGAGATCTTGAGCTGTGCTCCCTCAGCAGGGAGAGGTGGCATTACGACAAGTTGTCTGCCAGGTCTTTGGCTTCACTATCCTTTCCTCCTTTGCACAGCATGAATCCAACAGAAATGACTCCCCAGCTCACTCAGTTGACTGTAAAGCATTGATGGACTGGCAGTTTGAATCACAGCTGTTGAGTTGGTGTTCCTTTAACTACAAAGCCTGGTAATTCTCATGGCCTGTCATTGCACCAGTTGGTGGCAGTTCTTGAAGATGAATGCATTGAGTTCAAAATAGATCCTTCTGTATACAAACCGGTATGTGGTAAATCACAAGATCTTCGTGGTCGCACTTAATGTAGCTCTCCTTTAAATAGGACAATATTGCTTCCCTGCTTCACGATTTAATGAGCTTGTCATGCATATGTACATGATTTAATCGTTCTCCAACTGTATTATGAAAAGCTTTTAACGTTAGGTTATCTGGTAGAGCACTAGACCCATGAAAATCCGTAAGTTTTTGCTTTTTAATTTAAATGTGTGGGAAACTAGCTTTTGTGAGGCACAGAAATGAGGGAGAAGTAGCTGAACCAATGCCTCAGGCTGATTTAGGTACCAAGGATTTAGTTGGATTCTTGTTCTAGCAGTTCCAAGTTTTGCCATCTGTTGCCCAGTGAAGTCCTCTGTGCTTCACCGCTGCTACTCTGCAGATGCAAGTCTAGAGCTTGGACGTTGCTTTCTGAAGTCCAGAACTGTACATTGCAAAGTAGATGCTATTCTATATTCAGTGTTTCATATTGCAGTCCAGAAGGGAGCATCCTCCCAAAACTGAGAGCTCATCTTCCTCTGATGTACTGTGCTATAGACTTCCCCCGTGAGCACCATCTTGCACAAAGCCAGCCCAGTCTGACTGGTGTTCAGGTGAGTGTTGCACAGTACAGGCTTTAGCTGCGTGGAAATGAACTTGATGTTCCTTCACAGATAAGGCTTGCTTTTTTCCTCTTGAGCTCTGGCTCTTCTTTCTCTTACTGACATGCCCTATGCTCTGTCAAAAGTTAAACATACCGTTTGGAAATGCATAGAAGCCACTAGCCAGCACTAAATCAAAACTACTCTTAGCTTAGTTTTATCTACGTGTTGGTCAGTTTATGCCTTGTGTTAGTCAGGTGCTGCTGTTACAGTATGTCTGCTGGGGGAGGGTTTGTATCTGTCTCAAGGTGTCCACTGCTTTCAGTGGTTCTCCTGGAACACTAAAGGTAGGTCTTGGAAAGTGTCTCTTGATCTCTGGATTATACAAAGTAGGTTTATAACAGAATGTTGTCTGTCTTCACTGTAGCTGATGTAGTGGGAACCTATAATGGTTTGAGTGGTGCGTTTGACATCACCTTTCCATAAGAAAAGCTTCATTGTTTTTGTCACAGGAAGTGAAGCACTTTTTTGGTAGCTATTAGCCTTCCTCTTCCTGATGTGTAATACTATATTTTGCACTGTTATGAACCTGTGACCTTACGTGCAATTACATGCAGCCTTTTGTAAATCTGCTTTTTGCAGTGGGTGATTTCTGTGAGGGAGTGCAGGTAAGCTTAGGTACAATGTGTTGCACTTCCACGTCTGATAAAAATTATGAGGGCTTGGGGGGAATACCAGTATATATGTGGCAGTACTTTCTAACTCGCAACTTGTGTTCGTTGGCTCTAAATTGCATCTCTGTAAGCTGTCAACATATCTTAGACTCTTTGCCTCTCCTGTTGTCACAAAAGCACCAGGAGTCCGTATTTGTAATCCTGCTGTGCCTCTAAAACCTGGCTCTCAAACCAGAGTTGACAGCTGTTCCGTCTGTGGTTGACCTCTGCTTGTTCACATGAATATTTGCTCTATTCCTCAAGAGCTGATGTAATCTGTCCAATAAGCGCAGGTTAGCCTGGGGCTTGAGCTTACATGGTTTGTGACTGAAACACACGCAATTGCTATGAGAACTATTTAGTATGACTTCCCATTTCACTTGTAAGGTATGACTGAGCCATGAGTGATAGAGGATACTACTTAGATGTAAGAATACTTTTGCTGCTGTTCAAGATGCAGTGGTTCCTAGAGCCATGATTACCTCGAAGTCGCTTGGGTCAGGTGAAGGCACAAAGCAGGTCAGGAAGTATTCTAGAAAAATACGAATTTTCTAGGAGGCATTGTCAAGTGGTGCATGGCCCTTCTGGCAGGATTGAGGTGACAGTATGTAGTTGGCTATATACAGATAAGCGTTAGAGGAAGGCTCTATATTGTGGAGTGCATGCATATACAATCTAGTGTAAAAGGCGTCTTACCGAGTTGCCTTTTAAAGAGGGAATTCATTCCAGCCTAGGAATTTTCCAGTACGTAGGCAATCCTCAGAGCACCCAACGGGCTGTGGGACAAATCTTCTAGTCTGGAATTACCTGAATCCTAGTTTTGACCACTTGCCTACCTTGTAGACAACCATCAAAAGAAACTCTGTCTCATTTTAATTAATTTTCTGATGGACTTTTGTGTTCTCTTGATAGCTGCCATTAACCTAGCAAAGCTGAAGCTTTTCAGACATTACTATGTTATGGTAAGTAAAACACCTGTACGCATGCATACAGATCACTTAAAAGCTGTTCAAGCCTTTTGATGGATTACTTGTTGGAAGCTACTATAGCTGGTGGATGTTGTGGAGATGTTCCTAGTTCTGTGGTAGTGCTGTGCTTTGGCATCTTGGTCAACTGGGTTACAATCCTCTAAGCAACTTCCCTTTTCCTAGTAGTTGCATCCTTCTGTCTGTCTTTAGATTGGTTCCAGCTATTCGTAACGCTTACTAATTTCCTCTGGAGACAGCTTGAGCTGCCAGTTGAATTGATGGGCTTGAATAACGTACTGTAAACTTGCAAAAAATTAAACTTGGGACCAAATGGCGCCTTGAGATACATGTGTGCAGTTTCTGATTAAGTCAGTGGGAGCCGTGAGCATACATCCCAAGAGAGCATAGGCTTCCTAATGATTTCTAACAGCCTCATTTCAGACTCTTTTAAGTGGTAAGAGTAATAAATTACAATCGTGATTCTCCAAGTTCTACAAAATCCTAATACTTAAAGCATTCTCCTGCTGTAACTTAAATATGTTAGTAATAGCTTGAGTCACTTGGATGTTCAACAAGCAGTAGAGTCCTCAGCCTATATCTTGCATGTTCATCAAGAAGCATAATAAGGCTGATCTGACATGAGTTGTCTGGGAATTGCTTGAGCTATTTCTCCACAAAAAGAGGTTCTGTAAAGATGATGCTATTGTCTTCATTCATGCTTTCTCCTTTTCCTTCCCAGATTGTGTGTTACATTTACTTCACACGGATCATTGCAATTCTCATAAAGATTGCTGTTCCATTCCAGTGGAAATGGCTCTACCAGGTATTTGCCAGCAAAGGAAAATAGATCCATTCCTTTATTTTATTTTTTTTCTTAATATTATTTAAATATGACTGCACCAAAGGAAAAAAAAATCCATAAATTGTTCCTTATGTTGTAGTAGAACATCTTAAAGCACAGTGCTGCACCCTGTTGCCTCCTGATTTTTATCGCTGAAGTACCTAAGGTGGCAGGAATATATTTTTAGTTTTATGTTTGTCCAGCAAGGCTGCTGGATTATACATGAGATGTCTGAAAGTAATTGCATTATTGATTTTAGTATTTCAATTTAAAAATGTCTGAAGGAAATTAATCAAGAACATACAAAGGAGAATTAAACTAGTCAGGTTTGCCCTGTGTAATTGAGGCCCCAGGGAGCCAGTGAAATAAGCTTTCTTTCTTCCATCTACAGGCTTTATTTGCCTAGTGACTTTCAAATACTTGGTTTCTTAATATGTAATCCAAGTAACTGTGCAGGGACTCTTTGGAATATATTAACTGTTGAAAATACCAAACAACTTAGAGATTATTTTTTTCCCCCCCTCCATTTAAAAGCCAAGTCTTGCTTTATTTAAAAGCACTGGAGTGATGGCTAGAACTGTAACTGTATTTAAAGTGACAGGGAAAGCTGAAAGAACAAAAGATTTGACAGTCTTTAGCCTGGGATTAATAACAACAGGACAGGAATGACTTTTTTATTTCTGCTATGGCACAGGCTTCTTGGCCATTAAATCTTGAACCTTTTGAATGAGGAGAAATGTTTCATGACCATAAAGGATTACAGGACTGAACTTCAATCATATGTTTTTACTTGCAGCTGCTGGATGAGATGGCCACACTTGTCTTCTTTGTCCTCACTGGGTACAAGTTCCGTCCAGCATCAGACAACCCGTATCTACAGCTTTCTCAAGACGATGAGGATGACTTGGAGATGGAAGCTGTGTAAGAATCGCTCTCCCTTCTTTTTTTACCATTTTCACTTGATTTGAGAAAACTAATGTTTAAAAACAGTTTACTTCAATCTCTGTAAATCCTTCTTTGAAAAAAAATAAGATCTGCCCACACATTTAAAGATGAAGTGTCTATTTGGTGTGTCTTTAAACTACCAAAGAGATTTGTGCTATGCATAGGATCCTCTGAGCTGGATATTGCAGTAGTGTGGAATATCGCGGGGCAAAAGGATGCCTGTGAAAATATCAAGTAGAAATTGTGTTTAATCTGTGTTTCTGAACACCAATGAGCCTTACAGATTGTCATTAATGCTTCATATTTAAAAAAAAACCCACAACCAAACCAAGGACAAAAATGAACTACCAATCTACAGAATATAAATGAACATGGTGTAAGGTTACTTTTACCTTGAAGTTCAATCTGTAGCTTTGCAGAAATTTATCTTAAGTAACACTGAGCTGAGGAGATGAATTTTTACCAATACTCTTCCCTGTTCTATTCCTTGCTGTTAAACCATGAGGCACCACAAATGCAGTAGGACCTGAGGTAGTTTGGAGAAATTAAAGCGGGGCTCAGTCTATGTCCCTGTTACTTTCTTTGCAGTGGTTTTCAGATGACTTAGAAAATGAGTGGCATTTCTGAATCTATTACAGAAACTGCCCTAAGAAATTCAGCATGCCAGAAGAGTTGAATACAGCTATAATTGCCACAGACTCTGCCTTAATAGGAGCCGAGCTAACCTAATCTCTTCAGTGGTTCCACGTTTCATGCATAATTGCAATTCATGTACAGGCTCAGAAGCCTGTTCCTAAGTTTATCTCCAGTTTGGCAAATCTCCCTTACGTGATCTTGGGTGAAGCAAATCACCACTCCAATTTTTATTGCGGGGGCAAAAAAAGTCAGAATATGTTTGGCCTCTTAGCTAGCTCTGAATGAAATGGAGCTTATTGGGGAATTGCTACAAGGAGGTTTGAGGTAGAATCCAGCCTGAAATGTCATGCAAGGAGTTTAATTTCTTGGAAATGTCTCTACTAACAGAGATGATCTTTCCAAATGTGTAGTAATTTTTGCTTTGGATTCATAAAATCGGCCATTGTTGCAAGCGGAATCCAACTAGTGGGTAGTGACCCTAAAATCACTATCACTTAAAAAGTGTTTAAATGGTTTATGTAAGAAGCTGATTTCAGTTTGGGAGGTGGTAAATAAACATTCACATTAGGAAGGCACTGTCTGAACTGGAAGATGTGGCAGGATTTGTGATTGTACAGAGAAGAGCTTTTTTTCCTACAAGATTGCCCGTTAGAGTGAATTTCAACTTTGCATGACATACTTAATGAATTTTTACTTGTTTTTTTTAGGACTAATAATATGGCACCTTTCAAATGTAGTGATTTCAGTAAATTGGAGAAGCTGCTAAATTTAAGAGGATCTGCCAGGAATAAGCTGGAGAAAGCTTAATGAACTCATTAAGTGCTTTACATCTTGCCATAGTGCAGTAGAGCATCAGAATTCTGTGTGAGCCATTTCCTAGTAAGGAATTTTGCTCTCTGCCTTTCCATTGTTGTGCCTTGTGGGTTTGTTCCCCTTAACCTTGCTTGAATTTTTCTCATCTGATTCACCAGAAGTTTTACTCCATTTGGGCACTTGGCAAGGTATAATCTGTAAGAGAGTCTTGTTCTTCCTCAGCTGCATCAGGGAGGTTAAGTTTGCACGTAACTGAAAAGCATGGTGTATACACATTCTGTGACAGGTGAAGCACTGCAATGGAATTGTATTAAATTTCTTGTTGACTTGGTCTTGCTGGTCCTATTTTTGCTTTTATAAATATTAAATGTTGTTTCGGGGGGGAAATATGAAGGCTTATTTGAGCAAGTGAGTAAGTGACAGCATCCTGACTAACCATTGTATGACTGTGTTTTGTCTTTTATGTGAAAAATATCCACTTGTCTTCAGAGGCTATGGCAGAAGTTAAAAGCCTGAAAACTTCAAACTTCATGGTGTTCTGCCATGTCTTACCGCCAGGTTTTATGGTTGTTTTCCTCTCCCAGAGGACTTTTGTTAAAATCAGGCTCTTTAAAACATTTGCTGCAGAAGCATTCGGTTTCCTTAGACTCAACATTTCTATGAGCCAACAGAGGGGAGAGCTGTGAGGTCACCAAGCCTGTTTTCCAGGCTTGCTTTTCTTCCAGCAAAAAATAGAACATTTTAAGTGCAGCTCTCTAGTTTATGCCTGTTTTCATGCAGTGCAAACTATACAAAGCTCAGTCTGACAGTAAATGTAGATATTGCTAAGGACAGTGTGGAAATCTGCAAAGTTTCAAGAAAAATCCAAAGACTAGGTGTCTGTGACATAAGGCACAAATCCTCCCTGTGTAAATTCTTGTAACTCTCAAAAATAAAACATAAATCAAGAACAGCAAAGGTATCTTGTAATAAGTCTTTTCAACTAACACGTCTCTATCTTGGGAGAAAGCATCCACAAGTGTTGTAGGACTTTCTCTTCAGTTACACCAGACTCAGCAGAAGTTGTCCTACTCTCCACCAGGAGTAAACCTGAACTAAGGACCAGTCTGTCCTTTTTCAGGAAGGGTCAATAGCCATTCATCATCAGCCAGGTGGCTTTCGGTGTATTCTGTGCCGGGCAGCCTCTTGAGCCTGTTCTGTCAGTATGTGGACTTGGAGCTGACAGTTTGTTAGATTAAAGTACTCTGAAAATGTACAGCTACACTTGGCAGGAAGAGTTGTCAGGCTTCCAGTCCTAATGCCATTTCTGGGGCATGAACACAAAAATATAAACAGTACAGTAGATGAGGTGGGGTGAGGAAGGGGAAAGGAAGCAGTTTGGTGTTTTGAGGTTGGTTTGTTTTGTTGCTGGTTTTTTTTTTTACTCTTGCACTAAGTTATTTCATTAGCTCAGTAAGTTTGCTTTAAATGTTAGGTACCAAAGTGCTCTTCTACAGCTCTTGGTTGATAATGGTGTTCATACATGCCTGTGGGGTTAAGATACTTCCAGTGGAGGAGGAATTGCAGGAAAAGCCATTAATGGTTTTGTTCTCAATTCAGTAAATCCATCTTACTGAGTGTGTGGACACTAACTTTGTTCTTTCTTAACACCCAAAACAGCCTAATATAGCAAACTGTTGTGGTAACACTGACCTTTGCTTATGCCTTGGGATCTGGAGTTTCTCACTGTATCAGGAGGCAACCTATTCTGTGCTGAGACTTGAAGTCCTGGCTGGTTGCTTTTCTCTGATTTCTTTCAGGTTGTGCTTCATAGCAGACTGATTCATGACACACTTCATTAGAAGTACTTGTCTTCACCTAAGACATCTTTCCCATGCAGAGACCAGATTTTTTGCTCAATGGCTGATCAGCTTTCACTCCAGTTTCCAATAGCTTGTAAAGGCTGGCTGCTGCCAGCATCCCCATGTTTCTTATAGAACCATTGAACAGTTTAGGTTGAAAGAGACCTTTTGAAGGCCATCTAGTCCAACCCCTCTGCAGTGAGCAGGGACATCTTCAACCAGGTCAGATTGCTCAGAGCCCCTGACCAACCTAAATGTTTGAATGTTTCCAGGGATGGGGCATCTACCACCTCTCTGGGCAACCTGGGCCAGTGTTTCACCATCCTTATTGTGAAAAATGTCTTCCTTAGATCTACTCTAAATCTACCCTTTTTTAGTTCAAAACCATCACCCTTTGTCCTGTGGCAACAGGCCCTGCTAAAAAATCTGTCCCCATCTCTCTTAGAAGCCTCCTTTAAGCCCTGGCAGCTGCAATAAGGCCTCCCCGGAGCCTTCTCTTCTCCAGGCTGAACAACCCCAACTCTCCCAGCCTGTCGCCTCCTATGGACCCTCTCCAACAGGTCCTTGTTGGACTATAAAACAAAAAGGAGAAAAGACAGCTGAGATCCACTGCTCTGGAGGGCTGAAAATGCTTCTGAATGTTTAGCCATTTCTTGATACCTTGGATACAATGGGAGGGGGAGAAAAAAAACAACCAAAACACCTGTGAAATTTCTGCAGCATGTACCACTGCAATGGACTTTTCAGGGAACTCCTTTTGTGCCTCATCTGTGACAGGTATCCCTCTGAGAGCCACAAAAATTCTCCGAGACATTTTAGTGAGAAGGATTTGTTTCATTTAAACTACCGCTAGTTTGTGGGCTAGAAACGCAGTTCAGCAAACTGTAAGTGAGGACCATTTACGTGCAGTATTGCAAGTAAATGCTCAGAGGACTAGAATGAGAATTGCAGTGTGCCTGGTCTTGGTGCAAATACCCTTATTTTACTGGGCACTAAAATGTGTTGGCTGAACTGATTTTGAGGGGAGAGGAATTGCCCATTGTATACAAATGACCTGAGAAAACGAAGACTCGGGAGCTACGCCATACACTTGTCATGAGACAAGAACAGTGCTCATTAGATGGTCTTTAACTTTCACCGTTGAGGAATCCACCCCAAAAATCTCTCCAGGTCCTTTGCCATCACTGCAGGGAGCTGGGACAATAAATGGCCTCTCTGGTAACAAAGGACATGACTTGACCTGGCTGCAATTTGGGTATGTAGCTGTTTGTCCTGTCCCTCCGTGAATGTGGGAAGTGGATCATTCCCTCTTAGCCATAACCTCTTATCTTTTTTGTCATCAACTTCATGTGCAATGGGCTTGTAATTGTGTTAGAGTGCAGTGCTAAGATCTAGGCTGTGTGCCAGGTGGGATCTTACTAGCTGAGAGTCAAGTGTTAGGGCAACGTTGGTGTCATGCATGTGCAAAACACCTGTTGACATATCCCAATGTGTCTGCTGTAGCATTGCTATATTAGTGGCTCATTTTTGGTTTGTAGTCCATTGTAATCCTCCCTGAAGACTTGATACTTAGCTCCTTTATTCTGTAATTATGAAGTTTATTATTTCTGAAGAGTAAACTTTGTAGCTGTCTTGCTGCATTGTCCCATATTTTTCAGACCACTACTTCGATTTGCCAGAATCTTTCTGC